GCAAGAAGGCTTAGACAATCTTGAAGAAGCTAAATTATTTGAAGCATATCTTGAACTTAAGGCAATTCAAGAAATTGACCTCAACAGGATACTCCCTATAACCAAGTGTCAAGACTATGAAGATTCAAAACAACCTCATTTAAAGAAGAAACATACAACAAAAACTACCGTACAAAAAGCAAGACCAGCGATACAACCCGAAAAACTACAAACTACAGAATATCACCTAGATATACAAGACAAATCCGCACTCACCACTGAAAATCAAGAATTCAAACTTTGCGTAAATATCAATGACGATATTGAAGAATTAAATCTAGGGGTTCCCTCAAACCCACAAAACATCTTAATAGCTACACAACTCGACAAACCATTTAAACTTGAGGCTATTACACTCCTTACTAAGTATAAAGATGTCTTTGCGTGGTCATATAAAGACCTCAAGGGTATACCACCTGAATTATGTACACATCAAATCGAATTACTTCCAGGAGTTCGACCCATTAAACAAACTGCTTATCGGATGAATCCAACATTTGCTGAGAAAGTAAAAGCTGAAATTAACAAGCTCCTTGAAGTAGGATTCATATATCCAATACAAAATGCCCAATGGCTATCACCTTTAGTCATTGTACCCAAGAAAAATGGGAAATTACGTATCTATGTAAACTACAAGAAGTTAAATGATGCCACAACGAAAGATGCCTTTCCCATCCCATTTTCAAATGAAATACTTGATGCCGTTGCCGGACATGAGATGTACTCATTTCTTGACGGTTTTTCAGGCTACAATCAAGTACATCTAGCTGTCAAGGATCAACATAAAACAGCTTTCATAAGTCCATGGGGAGCATACACATACATGCGAATGCCATTTGGATTAACCAATGCCCCATTTACATTTCAACGGATCATTACCGATACCTTCCAAGATTATCTCACAGATTTCATGCGAGTCTTTATGGATGACTTTAGTGTCTTTAGACCTAAAGACAAACACCTTGAATACCTCGAGAAATGTTTTATCAAATGCAGACAAAACCAAGTTGCTCTGAATCCTGAAAAATGCACTTTCTTTGTTAAATCAGGCATACTATTTGGCCACATTGTTTCCACTCAAGGCATTCAAATCGATAAAGCTAAAACAGACGTCATTATGAAAATGCAACCACCTTATGATCTTAAAAGCTTGCGTAGTTTTCTGGGCAAGATGGGTTACCATAGAAGATTTATCAAGGACTATGCCCAAGTCGCTACACCATTAACTAAGTTACTTAAGAAAGACAAATTCTATCACTGGACTCAAGAATGTCAGCAAGCATTCTTGATACTTAAAGAAAAACTTACACAGGCACCAATTCTAGTCCAACCAAACTGGACTCAAGAATTTCTTGTACAAGTTGATGCTTCTGACTATGCGCTAGGAGCAATTCTGTGCCAAAGAAAAGATGATCATCGTGATCACCCAATATATTATGCAAGTCGACGACTTTCTCCACCTGAAATGAATTATACAACCACAGAAAAAGAAGCCTTAGGCATGATATATGCCTTGACCAAATTCCGACATTATTTACTTTCCAACAAAGTCAAAATATTCGTTGATCATCAAGCATTGATTCATCTACTCAACAAACCCATCCTTAGCGGATGAATAGCAAGATGGTTTTTGTTATTACAAGAATTCAATTTTGAAATAGTTCACAAACCAGGCAAATACCATGAACAAACTGATCATCTCAGTAGAATTACAACTGGAGAAAATATACAAGACCCCAATGATTACCTGATTCACATCTTTTTAAGATTACCACCCACGATACACTTCAAGAAATCTTTAATTATTTAACAACTACAACAGTTCCCACATCATGTACCACGCAAGATCAAAGGAAACAATTTGTCTTGAGGACATGATGATACTCAGTCGTCGGAGGAAGACTCTATAGAATTGGACATGATAATATATTAAGAAGATGTGTACGTTCACAAGAAGAGATACACACGTTACTAGAAGAAGCCTATGCAGGTTGCTCTGGAGGGCATTTTGCAGAAGAAATTACAGCAAGGAAAATATTGCAAGCAGGCCTATGGTGGCCTATATTATGGAAAGACACTTCATAGTTTTGTCAAACTTGTGATATTTGTCAGCGTACACAATTTCCACCCAAGAAACAAACACAAGAACTGAATCCGACTATAGCAATGGAACCTTTCCAAAGATGGGGCCTAGATTTTGTAGGACCCATACAAAAGAGCAGAAATGGAAATCAATATATTTTGGTAGCAACAGATTATATGACAAAATGGGCAGAAGCCCAACCACTCAAGAAAGCGACAGCAAAGAATACAGCAAAGTTTCTTTATGAAATGATTATCACAAGATATGGACTACCTCGAGAAATAGTAATGGATAGAGGAACACATTTCCTCAATGAAACAATCAAGATTTTACTAGACGAATTTTTCATCAAACATAAGAAATCTACACCATATTATCCACAAGGTAACGGCCAAGCCGAATCCACAAACAAAACACTCAAGAATATACTGAAGAAAATAGTGCAAACCAATCTTAAAGATTGGGATAATTGAGTGTATGATGCTCTTTGGGCTTATAGAACAGCATATAAAGTTTCAACAAATTCAACTCCATTCAAATTAGCTTATGGACTTGAAGCTTTGTGTAAGCTCCTGAGTTTGGACTTCCCGGGAGGTCACCCAGCCCAGTACTATTCAAACCCAAGGACGCTTAACTCCAATTATCCCAAGACCCTTAACCGATTGGAAAAGAGGGGTGCACTCTTATTCATGGGCCCTTTCCCTCTATATTTGAACCCCTATGGATCGTCTCTCGAGTCGTTCCCTTTGGTTGCTTACAATCCACCACGCTTCCCTGCAAGTTCACGCCCTCGTGAACGGAAGCTGAGAGCCGCAGCTCTCCCGAGAGCCCCGCTCTCTTGACACCCTACCCCTCGGGTGGAGCCCAGCGGGAGCAAACTGGACCAGCCAGATGTCAATCAACATGTGGTGTGATTCCCCTAGCCACCCAACAGAGTGGGACTCAAGACCCCTCTGATACCAAATGTAAGCTCCTGGGCTGGGTGCCCTCCCGGGAAGTCCAAACTCAGGAGCTTACATTAGTCCGAGACCGACTCGGGGACCGAGTTCGAGTCCGAGTTCGAGACCGAGTTCGAGACGGAGTTCGAGATCCGAAATCGGGTTCGAGACCGAGTCCGAGGTCGAGTCCGAGGTCGGGTCCAAGATCGGGTCCGAGATCGAGTCCGAGATCGAGTCCGAACCCGAATCCGAAGTCGGATCCGAAATCGGGTCCGAGATCGAGCCAGAGACTAAGTCCAAATACTAATACGGGTCAAGGGGTGAAAGCCCAAAGCGTGCGTCTCCCAGGGGGGGGGGGGGCTGCAGGGGGTTCCAAAAGTATAGTAGGGATAGTGAGGTCCAGGAACTAGTTTAGAAGGGACTCTCCAGTGGGGCTCCCAAACTGACTTGAGGTTGGGACTGGGACCGAGGGGCCTTGGGTGGGAGTGAGCATGGACTTGGTTGGTGCCGGAGGGGCCATCCAAGGAAGTGCTCAAGAGCAGCTCCCACTCCCGAAAGGGAAACCGATTGCGGTGCTCCCGGCTCAAGTGGAGTGGTGCCCCACTTGAGTACCATGCGGCTCATTGGTCCTCGCCCTTCCTAGGGGCTTGGGCCTTCCTTCGGGATGGAAGTGGGGGGCGAGAGGTACCCATACCGGGCCGCTAGGCCACGGTGTTTCGCCTCGGCGTCCTGAAGCAAGTGTTGCACTCAAGACTTGGGATTTAGAGGGTCCCATGATCAAGTCTTGTGGTACCAAAGGATGTTAGGAACCTGGAAGCTTGGTGTGCTTGGCTGCTTGTGCTTGCGGGGAGTGTAGCCGAACCTTAAGTCCAATCTAACCCGGGGAGGGGGATTGGGAGTGATTTGGGAATCCGTGGATGGTGGCTAACACTCCATTGCTCGTGCAGTGAGTAGCTGAGACCAAGTAGGAGCTGGTACCATAGGCGAGAACCTTGGCAAGGGAACTTAGCAAAAGCCAAGGCGGTGTTGGACGGATAGGCGAGGTAAGCTGGCAAATTGGAAAGGAAAAATTTGTGGCTTACACTTTGACACCACTAGAATATACTGTACCATCCTTGAGAATGGCAATTCAGCTGCAAATTAATCAAGAAGAATCAATCAAGAAAAGATTGGCTATGCTAGAAAAGTTAGATGAAGAAAGATTATATGCTTTATGGACAATTGAAGCCATACAAGCAAGGAGAAAAGCTTATCACGATAGAAAACAGACTAAAAAGAAAACTGATAGATTTGAAGTTGGAAATTTTGTTCTATGGTATAGAGGAAATGTTGACAAAATCGGAGGCAAATTGGTACATCAATGGGAAGGACCATTCAAGATCACAAGTATGCAAACACCTGGCACAGCTCATTTAGCAACACTTGATGATGAAGAAATACAAATAGTTAATCTCAACAAATTGAGAAAATATCAAGAACCAAGTATAGCGTATATGCTAGCCAAGCACACCATGCTGGAATTGATTACCAATGAAACCGAAACAATATACGTTGTCCACAAAACAAGTCCACAACGATTACAAACAACTATACTCAAGCAAAGACTTAGTAAAAATGCAAGAACACAATATGAACAAAACAAAACAGAGTTAGCCCTAACCCTGACGGCAAGGAAGCGCGCGCTGGAACATCACAAGGGTAAGCTTGAGTTGCAAGCAAATCTTGAGATCACAAGAGTGCTAGAGAGTGATCGTCAGCTAGGTGCTTTCACCCATCTCAAACGAGTGCATCAGATTCTAAGAAACACACCAATCGAGAGAAACAACAAGAAAGCAAGTAGGAAAGCAAGTAGAAAAGAGAGTGCCCACAAAAGAAGCAAGAAGAGTGTGTTCACGAGAATAGAAAGAGCACTCATATCTTTTCCTCTATTTGCATCACAGGAACAAGAGCATTCTCAACAGCACCAAAGAGTCGACACAATGCGAACCAAGCAAACATCCCAGGCAGAAACCGTCATCCTTTCTCAAAATCTCGAGTGGCAATTCAATGACGATGTCAAGAGTTGGACTCGCACTCACGGACTTTGCAACTTTGCAGAACGAATGGAAGGGTATCTCATGAATCAAGTGAGCAACGAGAAGGCTCACTTGATGGCTCTCGCCACTGGCCAGATTGGACTTAAAGATTCGGAGGTGGCAGCAGCTCTATGTCTCCCAGACGAAGGCGAGCCAGTCTCTGCTCCACGCACATGGGCTTTAAGTCACGACATCATGAAAGATCCCGAGAGCTACAACTCGGCGCTTAGTTTGCAATTCTCCAATGTCAAGGACGAGCTCTACAAAATATTCAAGTTCCTTGTTCTCAACCTGGAATTTCGGAAGACTGCTACGACAGTGAGCAGATCCGTGGCCTTCATTTACGAGGATCTTCAAGCTGGGAAGAAAGTGGATTTAGCAGGATATGTGATCCCGAAGTTTCGCAGGGAACTTAAGAAGGTGGCAGGAGAACTCAATGTGAAGAAATGTGTGAGGACACTGGTACTACCGTATGTCCGAGCCATCATCACGCACAGAAGTCAAGCCATGGGGATCTACAGTCCACCACCTCTGCTTCCGCAGCACATAGCCACAAAAAGTTCAAAACGCCATGCTGAAGAACACTTGGTGAACACCAAGAGGAAAAAGGTCCAACAAAAGACAGTAGCAACTCCACGAAGAAAGACACAGGGACAAGGCCGAAGAAATGTTGCGCCTCCACAGATTGATAGTGACAATAGTGATGTGCAAACAATCCAGCACACGGTGCCGAGACAACAACCAACGAGAACCTCTAGATCCAAAACAAAACGGCAGCAGAGTTCGGCACCAACACAGCCATCAACGAGGAGCTTGCAGCCTCCTAGCTCACTGCAGCCGGATTTGCCACCATCACCACCGCAGGAACCGGCACAACCTCTGTCTCCAGGTACAACAATTCCAGTGGATGATCACATTTTGCTGATGCAGGATATTCTTGAAAATCCTGAGACAGTTACAAATCCACCATCCGTTGAGCAGGGGCACAACACTTTTTACGAACCACCCACGGAGCAGACTGCCGAGCAACACCAGCCTCAGCAGCAGCAGCCTCCACCGTTGCAGCCCGTCAAGCAGCACCAACATTCGTTGCCACAGCCTGCTGAGCAGCCATCTTCACCACACCAGCGTGCTGAGGAGCAGCCATCTTTGCCGCAGCCAACTGAGTTACAGCAGCCAGCTGAGTCGCAACAGACATTTGCTCCAGACACCACTACCGACAACATGCAGCCTCCTCGTTCAGCAATGCAACGCCAATTTCATCATGAGCGCGTGAACAACAAGCGCCACCACTACAATTCGGAGCAGCAGGAGCATCATCATCAGGACCAGCAGCAGCCGAAAGTGATCCGTCCCATGCCTACAAACTTCCTGGAGCAGTACCATAACTCCAACATGGCGGTGTACACACGGGACGGAATGGAGAGCTTCTTCCGCAATGTTTTTGCACGCCCACACGAGGAGAAAATGGCGAGCATGGCTCAAGAACTCGATCAGGTAAAGGGAATCCTTCGCACTATACAGGCTCACGGACTCCCAACACCAAACACCTGCCGAGAATCTTTCGAGTTAGCGCAGTAGTACCAACTCGAGAATGCCCGCCTCACCAAAGAGAACATGGAGCTCAAGGCCCGACTACAGGTGCTCGAGACTGCCATAAAGAACTACACCCGCGACGAGCTTGAGGATTACGAGGAAGAACCAGAGGCTAACACCACAACTGCTACTACCACCACAATGGAAGCTTGAGCTGCAGGAGCCGCTCAACTCTAGTTGTCGGAGAGTAGAGAGGTACATGCATTTTGCATCGTGATTTTCGCACAAAGGCATTTCCTGAGTCAGGAATTGAGATCAGGATTTCTCCCGGTCTAAATTCTTGACTTGGATGACTGGGCATGTAGTGGTTATATAGGCTGGTGATAGCACGCCAGACCTATCCCCTTTCTGTCTTTTTATATCCTTGGCCATAATAACATACACTCCACTTGCTCAATATCTACTCTTCTCTTCCATGCCTATCTTACTCACTGCCTTCTGGGGATCAAGGCTGTGATATATGCATCAATCTCAGCATCAACATCTTTGCAACAGCACATGGCTAAGTATTTCTTTCCTTTTTATGTTTGGATCTAGTTTAGATTAGAGAGGATTCACAAGATCATTCTAGAGGTGATTTTGTAGTTTTCCAGAGATGGAGTCCAAGGTTGAGCCTAAAATGGAGATCGAGACCAGATCGAGACCAAGACCGAGTCTAAGTCCGAGTCTGAGTTTGAGTCCGAGCTTGAGTCCGAATAGTAATACAGATTAGGTGAAAGCCTAAAGTGGTAGTCCCCCAAGCGGGGAGTTGTAAGGGGTTCCAAAAGTATAGTAGGGAGTGTGTGGGGGTTGGACTCCAGTGATACCGGTTTGGTCAAGAAAGGCTAGTGTGACCCAGAAGGATACACCTACATGATGGGTCACGATATAACCATTGAGGAGTCTAAGGCTAAAGTGAACATGAATGGACAAATGGGATAACTTAGTGAAGTGTTTAAGAGCTGACTTTAGCTCCCCTGGGAGATCAAATGGTCAATGCTCCTAATCTAAGTGTGGGTGGTATTACCTACTTGAATATTTAGAACCATTAGAACCTCACTCTAGCCACATGGCTAGGGCATCTAAGGGTGGAAGGTGGGGAGAGTACCTATGAAGCTCGCATAGGGCCACAATATTTTGAAATGTCGTCCCAAAGCTTTAGACTATGGAAAGAAAGAGGAGCATTCCTCTTATTTAGTGACTAAGGATATGGTCACATGGTGAGGAAGTCTCAAAGGATAGTGGGACTTAGTGGTTGGGCTTTCAGACCTTGACCTAGTGGTGGTGTTGATGAGCATGGTTGTGATTGAGGAGGGACTTGGTGGGGACTGAAAAAAGGACATTGGGGAAGGGTGTTAATTATGTCTTTGAGCATCCTAAGGATGCTAAGGTGTGGTCATGGGATGACCCAGTCTTTGGGACATGGGACTATGGTATAGGTGGTCTTGGATTACCAATGAGACAAAGGAAAATAGACATCGCCTTAGTGTAACGGGCTAATATATTAGTAGTATCTTTGGGTGTCTTTCATGAGATTAGACACGTGAAGCACTTGGACCAAGTACAAAGGCTGAGTGACACAAAGGCCATTCACAATACTAGCAAGTCCCTAAGTTAGAAATAAGAGTTATAAAGGTTGTGAGTGAGATTCTTCCAAGTGGTTAAAGGTGTGATTTAGTGACTAAAGTAGAATGGAAAATTTAGTCACTTACAACCATCTCTTTTGAAGTCAGCACCTTTAACTAGGGTCTTTATTCCTTCTATTTGCCAATCCCACTTAGCAAGTCACCTAGCCAACATAACATGGTCCCATATAGAAGCATGAAAGTCCTCAAATATCAATTTTTATTCAAAGCCATTTCTTTGAATATGCTGGAACCATTTCCCTAATCTTGATAGCCTCAAGCTTTAAGACCTCACCTATATTGTGCTACTTGAATTTTGGGCATTTCTATGAATCATTTGCACTTATCTCTCTAACTACCATCTTACCCAAAATTATTTTCAGAATATTAAAGGGATTCTGTCCTTTAGCTTGCTAAGGCTTTTCCTTTCACAAGCTTTCTATTTGCCATTTTGTCTAATATGGACAATTCTATATTTTAGACTCTTCATCACGCCATTATTGCAAGTAGTAAAACCATTGAGCACTTATTTAGTTCTTTACTCCCAACTTGAATTACCACCCTGGGTTAGGTCTTTGATTTCTACCCCTTTATTACTTGCTTTTGGCTTCATATATTCTGTTCGCTTATGCTCTTTTATGCTAAGAGGGTAGCTTTGCACTTCTTACCATGCCTTAACAAGTATTCTTAAGGATGAATTTACTCAATGACCTAGGGAGCGGTTCCTCAATCTAGATATGGTCACCTTATAATTTTATATACCAAGATTAGCATTTACTACTCATAGATCCTTATATACTTGTTGCTAGTCATACCAAAATCCTTTTGGCCTTAGTCTATTTTGGATAAATAGATCTCTTTTATCTTTAGCTCTCAACATCTTGGACATTAGATATCACCTCCTATTCATTATTCTCTAGGGGTTTAGTCCCTTAGGCCTTATCTAATACCTTCATAATATAGAACACCACTTTTTTTGTGTTTTAATGTGCTTATATGTTTTAGTGATGGACTTCCTAGACAATAAGCATTTCCTACTATGATACTAACTTGCTATATTGCAACATAAGCACATTATCACTTAAGGGATGTATCTAACCTCTTTAAGAAGTTGTAAGAATTTAGCTCCCACTATTTCAACCAATTACTCCAAACCTTTTCTTAGTTTCTTCATAATTATTATATGTTACAACTCATTGGTGGTGCTTCCACACCTTCATTAATATTTATTAAGCACATGAATCCCATTAGGCTATGCCAATCCTGTTTCTATTGGGGTTCCTTTGGCAAGAGGTCCTCTTAACTAGCCAACTTGATATTAAGGCATCTTCCCTTGAGATACTTAGTGTTTCCATACTATATAAGTCTATCTTCATGATATATTTCATTTGTGTCTATGCTTTTTGCTAAGAATATATTTGTCATTCCATATGTCAACTATTGGTTAGCACTTCACCATCGTATTCATACATAACCCTTTGCAAAAGTTATTTTCTTTTATAAACACTTTTTTATGACTTTAGTATCATGCCTTCCACCATCAATGAGATACTCACTGTTCTCATGCATCAATCTCATGATCTTTTTAGTGCTTCACTACTTGCATAACCAACATATCTTAAAATAGGAACTCTCAATTACATAATATGAACATGAGCAATGAAATTACACCTTATTGCAAGTTATTTCTTGAAGAAGAGAAAATGATTCATGTGTTTAATCCTTAGTCCCTGAAAACTCTCTTTTAGTCTCAACTTTTAAACCTCAATTTTTCATTCACATTTCCTTCAATCCAATCTAAGTAAAGTTTACAAAAAAGTATAGCAATGACTATTTGAACTAATAGACTAATCCCTACAATCTTAATTGATCACTCATAATCATGCCTAGGAGCAAAGGAACGAGAGCACAGAGCAACTCCCAAGCATACAATCTAGGAGTGAAAGAACTAAAGTAGGGAGCAATATAAGAAGAGTTGTAGAGCATCTAGCATCCCACACTAAGACTAACACACAAGATAGAGCCAAATAAAATCTAGCACTAAACCATTTTGTTAATATATCCCCATATATCCCCCACTAGCAAATGTCCATTGATACTACACTTAGGTGTCCAATAACACACAAAACAGAGCCAAATAAAATCTAGCACTAAACCATTTTGTTAATATATCCCCATATATCCCCCACTAGCAAATGTCCATTGATACTACACCTAGGTGTCCAACAAGAATTCCCTCATGACATTCCTAAAACACCTGCTTGCAAAATTTTCTTTTGTTGCTCAGTAATATCTGATGGCCCCTCCAAAGGAAATCATCTCAAAAGGAGAAATTTGGGTGAGAGAAGCTAGTAGACATCCTGAAGCTGTCCCTGTATTCATATTCCCCTCTAATCTATTGTATATACTCACTCTCCTGTGCAGATATCAAGATGAAAGAGATATCACTGGTTTTCAAACCTCCGTGACAGTGCATCCGGCAGATTGTTGGTGCTGCCAGGCTTTAACTCGATAGTAAAGTCTAGAGTTTGTAGTTGTTCAACCCATAGCATTGTTTCTTGTTGAGATGAGCCTGATCAAGAATAAACTTGATGCTGAAATGGTTGGTACATAGGATAAATCTCAAAAGAGTGAGATAATGGCACCACTTGCCAACTGCATGCATCACAGCAAGCATCTCTTGCTCATAAAGTGGTTGTCTTGATTCCACCTCTAAGTCTCTAGCTTTTGGAGGCCACCAGGTTCTCTCTCTACTTCAAGATAGTACTCATACCAGCATTAGATGCGTCGGTCTTAATAAAATTTTGTAAAAAATCTGGTAAACACAGTAGTGGTGGTGTCTCTATCTTGTGCTTGAGCCACTTATAAGCAAAATGAGTGTTCTCATTCCCTAAAATCTTGGAAGTATGCAGAGCATAGTGATGGATGTATAATTCTCAATGAACTTATGTAGATAATTGCAGAGACCCAAGAATGATTGAAGTTACTTCAGAGATTGAGGTTTTGCTATCAGCCCGAACATATCCTCCTCCGATAACAAATCTAAGGTATTCAATCTCTGACATACCAATGGAACACTTGGATAGCTTGATAACTAGCAAGAACTCATCTAGAACTTGAAGCACCTGATGATAAACCTGAAAAGGAATCATGCAAAAAGGCAGTTCATCATTGCTTGGAATGTTGCCAAGCGTTGGTGAGGCCAAAAGGAGCCCAGGTACATTTTGAGCTCACAATCTCACAAGCTAAGCTCACAACTTCTTAAACATTAAAAAACTTTAGTTCGTCCTAAACCAACATTTCTTCATTTAATCTACATTTTCAAGTAAATTTGACTAATAAAGGATAAATATAAATTTAGATTGAAACACTAAAAACAAT